CCATTATGCTATAACTATTATTGCATACATTGAAGGAATTATATCCATAGGTCCATGTGCAACTTGCATGATTTCGGTCGTAAACATTTGGGCCCGGTGGGAATATTAACGTTAACATGCTCGCCCGGCACACATGTTAATACCTTAACCGTTGTGCGAGTTCAGTAAAAACTAGTTGGCTCTCAGAGCATTAATTGCACAACAATGGCAATTACACGATGGTAGAGATAGAATCCGTAAATCCATGTGCAACGTATATGGTTCGGTCGTTAACATTTGGGCCCGGCGGGAATGTTAAGCAAATAGTTTAAAGTTAATTGTACAGCTATGTTTCGAATCATGTGTTTCAAGATTTTTAACTTTGCATACATATATTATGCTGAATGTTGATTTCACAGTTTTTTGTTGATCATTCGAAGCACTGCATTATAAGCAACACTGCATTAAATTATTATCGTAAAAAGTAAATATCCGGCGTTCCAGTCAAAACCGCTTGTTAACGCCCGGTTAACATTTGAGACAGCAGATGTTATAACGCCGTTAACATTTGAGCCGGCACATGTTATAGCGCCGTTAACATTTCAGCCGGCACATGTTATAACGCCGTTAACATTTCAGCCGGCATGCGTTATAACGTCTTAAGAGATATGGCCCGGTATATGGCAGTAAATACGTGAACATGCATGAAAACTTAGTTTTGCGCACTACGATACACTTCTTGCTCTGTTTTATGACATTCTGTGGTCAGACCGTCAGATGGTTTGTATTAATTAACAGGTGTCAAAACAGTTTGGGCGCGTGTAGCGCGCAACATCCGGTTCGGGAGCTATGGCTTTTATAAAAATCCAAAAGGTTTAAGTGCACCAAGGTGTACCAAAGTCCCATTATGGACCGATCCCCTTCAAATCTTCCACGTAATTGCACATAACCATGAAGATCGTTGTACGGATCCAGACATCCACGATTTTTTTCGAACTTTAAGATGAATTTAGGAATTTTTGAAATTTAGTTTAGAAGTTGAAAAACATGCTAGAACAATGGATCGGTATAAGAACGATTTTCATGGTTATGCCTGTTCAGACGGAATCTACCGCTGAATCCAACCCGGTCAATTTGAACCTAAGCGGTCAGACTTTGCAAGAGGAGCATGTGCGCCGCTCTGCAAGGGCACCCGTGGCCGTTCAACCGCGAGAAGACCAAGTGATGCCATTCAACGGCAATCCGCTAACGCTGTTGGAAATGCAGGGATTAACACCGGTAAAGGTCACCGAGGAATCTGACGCCTTTTGCGCAACGTGCCAGCAAAAGTTTGCTGTCGGCGAGATGAAAATCATCTGGCCTTACTTTCACGGTAAGCTTGTTTGCAGTCTTTGGTAGCACTTCGATCGCTGATTAAGGGTTGCTTCTCGGCAATTTGCCAACCGACGTGCCGCTACAACATGTCGTCGGGAAAACATTTTGTCGGTCAGCAAGGGAGTTGTCCGAAAATCGTCGGGGTGCCGATAAGCCGACCGTCTGAAAGAGCCGACCGAGTCCTGAATTTAATTTAGAATGCCCCAAAATAGCTATCTAGGGTACCGAGACAAAACATATTGTTTCGATTGTTACGGTTTTCTTGCAGTGGGCCATGCGACCTGCCCGACGACCTGTTCGCGCGACTGTTCAGTTTGCCGACAACCCGTCCGGACGGAAGCGAACGTGGAAGTCAACCATGACCGCTCGATTCCCAACTCAAGGCTGTCTGACCATCCGAACTACCTAGCCGACTTAGTATGATGGTTGTATACGTCTTCGGGTTAAAATGTCTCCAAAAGTAAAGCTCTGGCAAATTTAAGCTAGCTTTAGCGTCGCTCTTGTTTTGCGGACCATGAATATAAATGAAGGTCGACGAATGCTGTACGGCAGCGTATCCGTCAAGCGCGGCGACGGCTGCGTAGTGGAGACATACTATTTACTGCAGACAGCCGATGTTGCGTTTTCCTGACAGCAGCAACTTGGTACTTGCGTGTCAGAAAAGCGCATCATCGGATGTCTGCGAGTGCACGCAGTGCAGTTATCGCGAACTGTAACGGTCGGCAATTTTCGATGATACTGCTTTCCAGTGAGTGTAAACCAGGACCGGTTTTCTCAGTGCTGACTAATTGCAACAGTTTACCAATGGCAGTCAAAGTGAGCATGATGCAAAAAATATTGTTAATTGATAAAGACACAGTATATTTGTACATTAATTACTTATTACAATGAGACAGCGTAAGATTTTGTAGAATAAATTGGGGATATCGAAAAGTTTGCGGGCAATCGTGGATGGCCCTACAGTATTAATCCGGGTCAATCAGTGCGGGAACAAACAAACACAGGTGTCGGGCCACTTCGATTACTTATTTCCCTTTTGTAGAAGTGTGCACGGGTTAGATTAAAAATTTAAAACAGACAGTTTATTGAATAGAATTTATGGCCAGAGAGGAGAGCGCTTGTGTAGACCCTGTCTCGCTTATGTGCAGGCTCGTACGGCTGGACAGTCGTACAGGGCAGTCCGAGCTAATACAAAAGTATTGGTGAAACGGGGCCACAACATATACAAAAGTTTTGTTGAAACAATACTAATACAAAGGTCATACAAAAGTATTGTTGAAACGGGGTCTTTGCGTACTAATAGTGTAGCAAGCTCATCTACCCAACGTTCCGAGAATGTACAGTGTCAGATATCAAGTCCGCATACGAGCCAGAAAAGGCGGGCAGAAATCGGACTACGAAACACAAATAATATTTCAACGTTCGCTCCGCTTCCTGGGCTGTATGTATATACATTAAACACCAAAAGAATAACATAACGGCCAGCTTTAAGTACGATTTTCTATCCCACCTTCCAGCCGAAAGACATTGGTGACCTTTTGCTTATGTCAAGACCATAAGTCTGTTTTCCTCCGCGACGACTACGTTAGCTGTATCTGCTCTCTTTATGAAAACATAAACGGCGTTGCTCAACGTGAGGCAATGCGCTGACGGCTTCTTGCAATCGCTGTGCAAATTAGTGCTGCTCTCTCGCCCGCCGCACCAAATTCGACAATTATGTATTTTATTACAAGAAAACAAATGGAAGTTTTATATTATGGCTGAGTTAAGAAAAGATAGGAAAACATATGTTCTAAACCTAAACGAATAGCGATCATTAACTACTGAACCCTGTTTTCTTGTAGCACTGTTGTAGCACAAAATGGATCGCAGACTCGCACCCCCGGCATTTCGACGGCTTCTGCTGGGCAAAGAGTCCATTAGCTACCAGAATAGCGTCGTAGGGCAGATGGAGAAGGATAACTGGTGGCTGGGATTCATGCAGGACATTGTCGGAGACCACGTGTTGGTTGACTTTAATTCCTCCAAAGCGCCGGCGCGCAACATCCACTCTTCGCAAGTGTGGCCGCTACAGTTCGTGTCCATGATTCGGAGCTGCGAATCGCGACATGGCCGTCTTCGCGGCTCTCCGCGATGAACACGACGGGCCCTTCCGCTTCCGTCCGGCCACGGGGCTTTGTTTCGTTTGGAGATGCGCACTGTATGTCATCATCACGACCTGGCCGGGAACTGGAAGCTCTCAAGTTTCGAGCATTGCCGCTGTTGATCTGCAACCAAACACAACAAATCATTTGCCGCCGATCTTTCGACATTCGTCGATGAGTCAGTGAATAGTTCTGAATACTCCTACTAACTACAACTGCAAGTGAAACACGCCAGCGAAGATCTACTGCAGCTTTGTATTACAGTCTGTTTCTACAGACTGCCTCGTTAATTTGACTGCCTTCGTAAACACTACAACTGGGCTTATCATTACCGAGAAAACCGGTTATGGTTTCCAGCCTTTACAAAACAGTGTTATCAAATTTTGCCGACGTAGGCAGTTCGTGACAGTCACACTCGAACAAGCCGCGTGTTTACCCTAAAAATGATTAAGTCAGCTGTCTGCAGTAAAAATTACTGCGCTTCCTGCATCAGGTATACGCGGGGCGGGTGACATGCTGCAGTGTCATTTTCTGGTCTGGATCCAGCACATTTTTTGCTTGATGTTTGATTGGCAAAACGGCGAAAAAGAATGGCGCCATTATCCATGCTAAGATAATGCTCTAAAGTAGTAATGCTCTAAAGTTGTGCTCTAAAGTAGTTGATAATGCTCTTAAGTAGCGGCAAAACTAAAGTAGTTCACCATTATCGTCATCATCCCACTAATTCGTCTATGTAGCTCTGACGCCCAGGCTGGTATTCGGTTTCTCAGTTGACGGTTTCTTAGGGTTTCTTTATTTTGGTGTCAGTAAACGTACCGGTTTTTAGAAAATATGGTGCGTCATCGGTCAGCAAGTAGAAAAGAACCACCCGGTCGTCGTGACACAAGGGGGGGGGAGGGCGCATCCACATATTCGGCGTTGCAAGCGCCCTCTGTATGGGCAACTTGCAGATAATATGTCTAAACCAATATCTCGTACTAAAGAAATATCTGGGATTTCTCAATGGTATCCGTATCAACTTATCGGTAGGTACGACTTTAAAGGATTGCCGGAAAGGCTGCATTGGCCTCGGAAGCCCGGTATAACGGTCGGTGAGGTTATGACCGTTGTCGGCGACCTTTCACGGCGCCTTTACATTATGAACATACGCTCAGGCTCATCGCATGCGACAGTGTCCCGGAAAATTTCACCCAATCCGATTGGTCAGTTTTCCTTCCGGTGGCAACAGCATTGGATGTACGATTTATTTTACTTTGTGTTGCTGCTGTTCACCTTACCGGCTGTTTTACAAGCTGCTCTGTGGACAGCAACTACTATTACTGAGTACTACCTGTACAGTACTCCCACATTGCTCGCAGAAAGGGTATTGCACTCGCAGTACCTATAACCGGATTTGCTTCTAAGAAATTACTGCATAAGTGTACGCACGTTTGTTGCCGTTAGCGATCATGATGCGTGTCAGCCTTAGACAGCTTCCACATCACACAGAGCGATCAACAAGCATAACGACCCCGTGTGTTTTAAGCGGATGTAAAAACACTTTTTCATATCACATTAGCTTGTTTTCGCTGACACGTTAAAAACCTGAATTCATCGAACCTCAGCCGCGAAAATTGCAGCAAAATGTCTTACTTCGATAAAGTGTTGATATTATCGCTGTTGATAGGATCCATGTCTAACTGTGCTGCCGACACAACGCCGCCAAAGTATCCAGGATTTCCCGAGCAGTACGTCAAGGTTCCCACACGCTGGTGTTTCAACTATGTTCTGCCGAGCTGCAGTCCGCAGTGGACACAGTGTGCCTGCAACAAACCAGTCTTCAATGTCAGCGACATTGGAGAAGACTGGGATTACGTGAGGATCGGCGCAGATGATGCAGAGGGCCGCTGCGGTCCCAGCTGTCTGCTGAACACCTCTATTTCGTTGCCACGTCGGCCTAATGTGGTCGCGGTCTGGCTCATTGATATCTGGGTGGCGCCGGATGACGGTCCCTTCCCTGTCGGCCGCTTCCTGCGAAATGTTCAGCCGACAGTGCGATGGTTGCGACTGGTGCAAATCCATCTGCCTACGTTGAGCCGCGTGACCTTTGCGGGCTTTGCGGCCTTGGAGAAGCTCCAACTGATCCGCAACCGGATGTCGGCCATTGCGCTGGACGCCTTTGCATCCTTGTCGGCAACGCCCACTTTGAACCAATTCTGGAGCGAAGGAAACCCTTCTTCAAAATTCGATTTGGCGGTGCTCAAGCCAGTGGCGGCTAGCCTCAGGGTAACTATACGTACTGTTAGCTGACTTGACCCGACTTGGTTATTTACTTGTTTATTCTTGACTTGTTAGATTCTGATGAACGTTGCTGTAACGTACAGCGGTAGGAGCCGTCAGCACGTTCACTGACGACATACGGTTAACATTAATTATAAAATTAAAAATAAAATAAAATAAATTAAATTATAAAATTAAAAATAAAATTTTTTGTCCGTGTAGTATTGTACGGTACGTTTACACTATTTCACAATTATTGCCACTCTTTTGGCTTTCAGGACATCACCTTAAGGATGAACGACATTGAGGAGATCTACTTCAGTGAGTACTTCCCGATGCCGGCTGTGGAATGGGTGGATTTAGCGGGAAATAGTCTTACGCGCATCAACGACACTTTGTTGGCCAGTGTGTCAAATGCGCAGCTGCGACCCTATCTGCGGCTGGGCTTCAATCGCTTCTGCGTCAACAGCGCAGAGTGCCGCTGCTCCTCGTTAGACAATCTGTGGAGCTTCTTCCTGAAGGCACCGCGTAACAAATTGCTACCTAGATTTTTCTACCAGCACCCGTCGGACGAGTTGACATGCGGCAATTACACCATTTGGCCCGAGTCCCCGCAATTCGAGTCGAGATTCGTTCCCTTTTCGGGCCGAACAGACGGACGGGATTACTATGCCGATGTGATCAGTTTGGCGCGTACACGCCTCAAGGCCCTTCTGCCGGACAAAGACCGACTTACCAAACATTCTATCGCTCATGCGCTCAGCAAATCGACTCCAAAAACAGCACAGAACTAAAGAAAACTGTGTTCCAGTAGCCTGGTAGGATGTCTCTAAAAATAATAAATTTGGCCGCGGCGCTTGGATATTAATAAAAATTAATAATACACTGTAAGAAAACGTTTAACATGCGTGACCTCAACCGGGTCAATTTAACCGTCATGTGCTGATTCACTCCATGGAACTGCATGCGTCATATATACTGGCAGCTTTTTTTAACAGCGAACTTAACCCATTGCGGCATGTTATTGCCATATAGTCAGCGCATGATGTTTTTGAATAGATAAAGACATGCGGAAGCGCCCGTTTACAGGCCTGGGTGCTCAATAAGCAGGCCAATCAATCACCGAAATTCGTATCTGTACTTCCCGGCTCCCAGCAGCGACAATACAACTACTCATGCCAGTCTAACGCTATAGAATGGCATATTTGCAAATTACTATGAATAAAATTTGGTGGTACATACAAAGTGTTACCCGTATCTTTACACGGCTACGCCTGTGACCTTTACGATATTTCGCAGCAACGATGTTTAGTAAGCTGTATCCTGCACAGATCGTATACCAGAATATTTTCTTCTGCACAGACTGCATATCTTCCGCGAGAAGCACACTGCCACAAAATGAGACCGTCTAGCCACATGCCAATGCCTACAGTTCCCAATATTTCCAGCGACATTCCTCTCCGTTATTACACTTTCCAACATACTACCCACAAGTCCACGACTATCAAAAAACTTCCCATGACAGACGAAAGCATGACAAATGAAATGCAGTAGCATGATCCACAGGTGCACACGACGGCCATGCGCATCTCAACGCGACTGGCGGCGCGTTGTTAGTGTTATGCGGCTAACTAAAGGACATAACAAAATTAGGTCTCCCTGTTTTGTATCTCCCGTTTTATACGCTTCAGTTAAATTTTCCCATATAGCTACTCGTACACAAGTCCTTCAGGGAGGAACAGAAAGAAATTATAACATAGAACAACTACTATCAAACTGAGACGAATCGCCGAAAACGTCTTTCCTCGACGACGATTTTTAACGTCGTTCCTCGCGGTTTACCAGGATGGTTTTTGACATTTTTCACCTTCTTCCTCCTCAGTTTCCGTGAGGCGCGAGATTTCGTGAAGTTTCCTGAAGTTTAGAATACTTTTTTTCTGCAAGTGTAATACTGTACAAAACACGAAACAGAATAATCGTGTCATACCGCTTTCTCAGGAAAATGAAAAGTTAGAAACTTTGTGACTAGATGCTATTAACGGAAAGCTACGCAGCTCACGTATTGTCACAAAGTGAAAAATTCAAGAAAATAATTTGCTGTAGTCAGTGCATATCGAAGTTCTTTTTAAGGTCAACGGTGGGCTGCATTTGGCATAAAAATGTTGTTTTTATGGGGGCAACGAATCAAGCATTCACAAAAGCGGGAAGACTGGTAAAGGTAGAAATTTAGATTTTTGTAGAAACGATCAAGGCTGAAGCAGTGCTGGAAAGTCACCTCGCGGGCTGAGTTTGAGATCCGGCCCATTCCCTGATATTTTTCGCATTAAAAGCGCTTTGGCTGCAGATAAAAATATTTCGATAGAAAAAATAACATTTATACTGTAAAATAGCATGAAAATGACAAGCATGTTTAAGCATGTGCATGACAAGCATGTAAGTATTAAATTATGATTAAAGACAAGTATTTTCTAAGGACAGCTTGCGGTTCTATAAACACCCTGCTGACAGTGAATTGGATTCGTCGGAAGTATTCTTTGTGATACTTCCGCTTGCAGTGCTGCACAGAACGTGGACGAATCCTTAGCTATTTTGGATAGAAAGGTCGTAAACGATGACTTAGCTATGCCGCCCATGTCTATCTCAGTGCTCGCATAGAGACCGCAAGCCCGGCTGATTACTTCCCCGGCATAATACGTTCGTCCGCGCATCTTATCCAGCTCACCGGTCTTGTCGAACAAGGGCAGAAACCGCGACTCGTAGTTGGAAAATTCGGTCAAAACGGTGTAGTTTCCGCAAGTCAACTGATCCGACCAAGTGAATTGGCGGCGATCGGGAAAGTAGCGGCGAGGTGGCGTCGCGAACCACTTCCACAGATTGTCGATGGCGGAACAATTGCATCGGGCGTCATTCATGCAGAAGCGATTGTATTCCAACTGCAGATACGGTCTGCCTTCGTGCGTGGACAGCGTATCCAAGAAGCTGTCGTCGATGAACGTTAGCCGGTTTCCGGACAGCACGACCCATAACAGGGCGGGCAGTGTGAAGTACTGACTTGAATAGATTTCCCCAGTGTCGTTCATCTGTAGGGAAATCTTCTGCAACAACGCAAGCATGTACAGTGTGGTCGTCGTTCGTCATTTCGATCACCATCGCATAACTGTAACAGCGCACGGAAAGTTCGCCAATACAACAATCGTTATCGAAGCGAACTGTCGTCTAATCCCGGGCATATTCGCCCCCTCCAAATTCGAATTATTTTCATCTATGTTAAAACAGTAGTGTAGTTGTAGTACGTTTTAAAAATTTTTTCATCTGACATCGTCCAGAGGGCGCGGCCAGACAACAATGAAAAGTTTACATACTATCATATACTGTGTAATGAGTACAGCACGTATCTGTTTATTAGTGCCGAAAGATTGTTTGCATAACTTATTGGTTACAACACTAATCGATAAACAGTTTTTGAAAATGTGTACTCAGCTACAATGGCACGAGCCGGAAGTGGGCCTCTTTTACATCCCTACTCGACAGATGTAAAAGTCCACGGTGCTGCAGTAAAAAGTGAACACAATACTGTAATAATTAGTAGTTACGAATAACTTGTGCTGCACTGCATTATACAGTATGTGATAGTATGCAAACGTTTAATTATTGTCTGGCTACGCCCTCTTGACGATGGCAGATGAAAATAATTTTAAACTTGTACAGACTACCATCTTAAAGTTTTAAACAGTTTTAAACTGCTGTTTTAAAGACTACAGACTACAGTTATAAACTCTATACTACAATAGTACCCCACCTTTTTACAAAAAACGAAAATTTTTCGAATTGGGAGGGGGCCATTGTGCTCTGGTAAGTGCTATAATTACTTACTTGTTATGACCACTTGTCATGCATGGCCCATAGTACCATACTGTGATGCTGCTTAGCACTCACCGTTAAACTATTCGCCACCGGCAAGAACACCGACCAATCAAATTTCACCAGCGATTCCCTTCGATCCAGATACTTTCGATGGGCGACGGGAGTTGTCGGAGATTGCGCTGGACGCCTTTGCGTCTCTGGCGCCGTGGCAGAGCGCATCGGCCATTCCTCCTTTGAGCGGATTCTGGAGTGAAGGAAACTTCCTTGCCAAGTTCGACTGGTCCGTGTTCAAGCCGGTGGCGGCGAGCCTGGAGGTAAACACATTTCCGTAGGTAGTCGTAATTCCATAAAAAATAAATTTGGGGGGCTTTCAAAGGCCATGCTCACCACTCTTCGTACTTGTGGCCGTCAACCGGCTGGCGGTTAACGTTGCCGCATTACATACCGCGCCGATTCAGCGGCACGTACTACGGTACTACCGCAATGTCACATTCCAGCCGGGTGACTGCAGGAGTACAGGGAAGTGATTCGCTCGATCTTTGAATATTCCTTGAGATGAGAAACAATTCATAGTTATAACATCAGAATATCATCTAACGCTAGCGCCGCTCCCATCCTTCCGAGTACAGAAGCGGCGTTAGACCTGAAAATCTCTTACAAAACCGAAATACAGTGAAACGTGGCTCATCTTTAAAGAACTACGGTACCGTAAGTAACAGGTTTTTTTGTGAAAGGTTATGTATCAGCAGGCATCAGGATAGCAATGAGGAAGTGGTTTTGTTATAAATTCTCTTTCTGGTTTTATACTAAGTGAGTACTTGCGTTTGATATTTACTAAAGGTCAATACAAAAAACGAGATATCAACAGACCAGAAGGGGTAATTTCGACATTTGACGCTTACGCCGTCATTTGTATGGCAATCGTATAATTCGTATTCATTCGCCTCTGTTTCCTTTCAGGAAGTCAACTTGCGCATGAACGGCATTAAGAAAATCTACTTCAGCCAGTAATTCACGATGCCGGAAGTGAAATGGGTCGATCTTTCCGGGAACCGTCTGACGCACATCGACGACATCCTTCTATCGAGTCTCTCCACTGCGGAAGAGAGATCCTTCCTGCGTTTGGGCTACAACCGCTTCTGTGTCGGCGACGCGGAATGCCGCTGCTCCGCGCTGGATAATCTGTGGAGCTTCTTCCTGAAGACACTGCGGACGAAAGTGTCTTACAGTTGCTGCTACGGCTTCCCCAGCTCCCCGGACCAGCTGATCTGCGGCAATTACACCATTAATAGCCAGTTTTCCGATTTCGAATCCAGGTTTCCGTACATTCTGAGCACAGCCGCCAAGAAATACTTTTCCACCGAAATTGTCAGTCTGGCGCATGCGCGTCTCAACAACATGACGGCGGATGAAGACGGCATGCCGAAAAACGTATCCCTCGCCCAGGGAAACCGACAACAATAGTGTGCAATTTTTAAAATTAACAAAAAAATATTGCAATAGGCTGATAGAATTTAACCGAATTCATCATGTACTGCACTGAAAGTTAAAATAATAAATTCAAGAAAAACCCGCCGGTATTTCGGACATTGTTGAAGCCCCCCGTGGCATTTCAAAAATTTCGGCGAACCCGCTTAATTAGTTTATAGTGAGCAGAAACTGTTTAACTGCTTAGTTATGTCGTGCATATGTATTAATTCGTTTAGCAGCAAAAACAATAATAGCATACATACAGTCTCCATGAGAAATCCTGTCGAGTACGTCGTAGGAGGTCTAACACACTGCAGGAGAAGATCACGTGGTAGTCAACGACACTCCGCTAACACCGCTGCATAAGCATCGGCTGGCGCCAGTGAAGGTCATCATTAGATGTACCGACATGTGCCCAACCTGCCAGTAGACGTTTGCTGTGGATGAAATGAGATTCATCGTGCTTGGCTTGGCTCGTGAGTCGATCCGCCGTAAACAGCTTGTCGTTCATTTTAACACGTGGCGCGAATACGCGATTTTTAAATTTTCAAAGTTAGATTGCAGCCTTATATAACGGACCACCAATGCGTGTTACATCAGGCTTGTTAAAGGTCATTATTATTGCTAACCGCATCCCCATTTTATTTTCCGCGATCGGCATGGTGGTGCGTTTGTGTGCCAAGCAATGGGCGGCGGTGGTCTTCTTGCATCGGCTGTAAGCTGCGCTGCGCTGCCTCCGTTTTGGCAGAATCGGAAGACGCGTTCCCACTGGAGACCGCAGCAGCAATTGACTTGACTTGACTTGACAGTTGACATCGGCCCGGACGTTTGGCTCTTACT